TGTGTGTGTGCCAGTGTATGTGTGTGTGTCTGTGTATGTGTGTGTATCTGTGTGTGTCAGTGTATGCATGTGTATGTGTGTCTGTGAATGTATGAGTGTGTGTCTGTGAATGTGTGTGTCTGTGAGTGTATGTGTGTGTCTGCACGCGTATATATATATATGTTTGTGTATGTGTGTCAGTGTGTGTGTGCACGCGTGTATATATATATATATATATACACATACACACACACACACAAGTGTATAATATTTTTTTTTTGGGGGGGGGGGGGGGAATCTTGGGAGAGTTCCCACACTGTATCTCCCCTGTCGGCTCAGGCAGAACTGGCGCTATGTAAGTGCCGGCTCTGCTCTAAGCCTCCATGGGCCGGCAGGGAGATCAAAGATCTACCTCACTGGACCACAGCAGCATGGAGGGAGGCAGGAGAGGACCCGGGGAGCCCTAGACAGCAGCTCCGCCAGGTTCCTCTTGCAAGATCTGAGCATTGCCGCGGCAACGCTCAGATCTCGCGAGAGTTAACTCTAGCCCCGCAGGCTAGAGTTCACTCTCCACTGGACCACCAGGGATGGCACATGGCAGAAAGGGTCCCCCCTCCATACATAAGGTAAGAAGGGAGGGGGGATATTTACTAATCTGCCTCCACCTCCACAATCCCTCCAAACATACAGCACACACACACACAGCACCTACACACATACAGTACCCTCACACAAACAGCACACACACAGCACACTCACACACAGCACAAAAACAGCACCCACACACATACAGTACACACACAGCACGCTCACACACACAGTACACTAACCGCACCCTCACAAACACACAACACGCTCACACACAGCACACTAACAGCACACTAACAGCACCCTCACAAACGCACACACACACACACAAACAGCACCCTCACAAATACACGACACCCACACACATCACACAAACAGTACCCTGACACACACAGCACCATCACACACACACATAAACAGCACCCTCACACATACAGCACACTAACAGGACCCTAACAAACACATACACAAACACCCTCACACACAGCACACTACCAGCACCCTTACACACAAACAGCACCCACACAAACACCCTCACCCACATAGCACACTACCAGCACCCTCACACATACATCACACTAACAGCACCCTCACACACACATCACACACTAACAGCACCCTTACACACACAGCACCCTCACACAGCACACTAACAGCACACACACAGCAGTGTATGTATGTGTGTGTGTGTATATATGTGTATATATATATATATATATATATATATATATACATACACACATACATATACAGGCGGCTTGTGTTTGTGCTTTAGGGTGCACACCCTAATGCAATAAGCTGTGCACGCCTTTGCCAGTGGGGGCAGGGAAATCCAAGCCAAGGGACCTTTTTCAGTGTTACACTACTTGAAAATGATTGAACATTGAAATGGTTATAGTAAAAAATGGTTATAGTACCTACTGTGCGTCCCTTTAAAGATGACAGCTTCTGCTCTTCCACATATACTGAATCAATATGAAGGCCGGTAGTGGCCTCTAGTGGTCAGTATGTGCAATGAATTATGGCAATATAGTTTATGAGAAAACAGTTTTGTTCTTAAGCACTTTACATATTACTTTATAGTAAATAGGAGACACAGTAATCTTAGCAGTAATTGTGTATGTATATACAGTTTCAAGAAAAAGTATGTGAACCCTTTGGAATGATATGGATTTCTGCACAACTTGGTCATAAAATGTGATCTGATCATCATCTAAGTCACAACAATAGACAATCACAGTCTGCTTAAACTAATAACACACAAGGAATGAAATGTTGCCATGTTTTTATTGAACACACCATGTAAACATTCACAGTGCAGGTGGAAAAAGTATGTGAACCCTTGGATTTAATAACTGGTTGAACCTCCTTTGGCAGCAATAACTTCAACCAAACGTTTCCTGTAGTTGCAGATCAGACGTGCACAATGGTCAGGGGTAATTCTTGACCATTACTCTTTACAGAACTGTTTCAGTTCAGCAATATTCTTGGGATGTCTGGTGTGAATCACTTTCTTGAGGTCATGCCACAGCTTCAGCTGGTAGACAGATGGCCTTAAGTTCTCCTGCAAAATGTCTTGATAAACTTGGGAATTCATTTTTCCTTCGATGATAGCAATCCGTCCAGGCCCTGACGCAGCAAAGCAGCCCCAAACCATGATGCCCCCACCACCATACTTCACAGTTGGGATGAGGTTTTGATGTTGGTGTGCTGTGCCTTTTTTTCGCCACACATAGTGTTGTGTGTTTCTTCCAAACAACTCAACTTTGGTTTCATCTGTCCACAGAATATTTTGCCAGTAATGCTGTGGAACATCCAGGTGCTCTTGTGCAAACTGTAAACGTGCAGCAATGTTTTGTTTGGACAGCAGTGGCTTCCTCTGTGGTATCCTCCCATGAAATCCATTCTTATTTAACGTTTTATGTATTGTAGATTCGCTAACAGGGATGTTAGCATTTGCCAGTGACTTTTGTAAGTCTTTAGCTGACACTCTAGGATTCTTCTTCACCTCATTAAGCAGTCTGCGCTGTGCTCTTGCAGTCGTCTTTACAGGACGGCCACTGCTAAAGACAGTAGCAGCAGTGATGAACTTTCTCCATTTATGGACAATTTGTCTTACCGTGGACTAATGAACAGCAAGGCTTTTGGAGATAATGTTATAACCCTTTCCAGCTTTATGCAAGTCAACAATTCTTAATCGTAGGTTTTCTGAGAGGTCTTTTGTGCGAGGCATCATTCACATCAGGCAATGCTTCTTGTGAAAAGCAAACCCAGAGCTGGTGTGTGTTTTTTATAGGGCAGGGCAGCTGTAACCAACACCTCCAATCTCATCTCATTGATTGGACTCCAGTTGACTGACATCTCACTCCAATTAGCTCTTGGAGATGTCATTAGTCTAGGGGTTCACATACTTTTTCCACCTGCACTGTGAATGTTTACATGGTGTGTTCAATACAAACATGGCAACACTTCATTCTTTGTGTGTTATTAGTTTAAGCAGACTGTGATTGTCTATTGTTGTGACTTAGATGATGATCAGATCACATTTTATGACCAATTTGTGCAGAAGTCAAAGGGTTCACATACTATTTCTTGCAACTGTATGTCTATGCATATACACTGATCAGCTACAATATTAAAACTACCTGCCTAATATTGTGTCGTGCTGCCAAAACAGCTCTGATGAATTGAGGCATGGACTCCACAAGACCTCTGTACATCTCCTGTGGTGACTGGCACCAAGACACTAGCAGCAGATCCTTTAAGTCTTGCAAGTTCTGAGGTGGGATCGGATTTGTTGTTCCAGCACATCCAGATACTCAGCTGGATTGAGATCTGGGGAATTTGGAGGCCAAGACAACACCTTGAACTCTTTGTTATGTTCCTCAAACCATCCATGAACAATTTTTGCAGTTTGGCAGGGTGCATTATCTAAATGAGGTTACTGCTATCTGTGAACACCATTGCCATGAAGTGGTAATCGTGATCTGCAACAATCTCTCGGTAGGTGATACATGTCAACATCCCCATGAATGCCTGAACCCCAGGTTTTCCCAGCAGTACATTAGCCAGAGCATAACACTGTCTCTACCAGCCTGCTTTCTTCCAATAATGCATCCTGCTTCCACCTCTTTCCAAGTTAAACTATGTACATGCACTCGCCCATCCACTTGTTCTAAAAGAAAAGGTGTCTCATCAGATCAAGCAACCTTCTTCCATTGCTCCATGGTCCAGGTTTGATGCTCATGTACCTATTGAAGACGATTCAGTGGTGGACAGGGGTCATCATGAGCTTTGGCCGCTCATGACCCTGCAGCTGGTTCATCGGTTGTCCTGTCTTGCATCACTTTTGGTAGATACTAAGCACTGCATATGGGAACACCCCAGCAGACTTGCCGCTTTGGAGATGCTCTGACCCAGTTGTCTAGCCAACACTATTTGGCACTTGTCACTCAGAACTTTTTGCTTGCCCATATCTCCTGCTTCCAACACATGAAATTCACGAACTGACTGTTAACTTGATGCTTAATCTTCTACCCCTTGACAGGTGCCATATTAACAATATAATCAATGTTCACTTCACCTGTCAGTGGTTTTAATGTTGTGTCTGATCAGTGTATAGCACTAACAGATATATTTAGTATTTTACAGAAGGGGATTGGTACATTATACTATATGTAATATATTTCCACTGCTCTGGTTTTTCTTAGCAGTTATGCTAACTAACAATGCACACTCAATTTTGATAATTAAAAAATCAATTTCATGAAGACTGGTTTGTTACATATGCCATGCAAAATCAATGTGACAAGAGTCAGATAATAATTGTTGAAATAACTCTGTTACGTCCTTATTTTACCTTGTTTTAGCTCATTTTTACATCTACTTTGTTAGTTAACGGGTTAATTTTTAATATCTCAGATCATCATTTATGCAGACAATTTAAACCAATGAAGTTAATAAATATTACCAGTAATCATACAGTGTATGTATATTTTATATGACACTAACAAGTACAGTTAGCTCTTCATATCCTTGCATCCAATAAAATTTCCCAAGACACTCACTATAATACAGTACATAAATTGTTCAAGTCATTAAATACATTTTAATGGTCAATAAAATGAAATAAATGATTTTTCCAAGTTCATTCACAAACACACTGAGAATTTTATATTTTAACAATTATCAGACTTTTTTTTTTTTTTTTTAATCTGACAAATCTAACCAAATAAATTTAATATTTTGTGGTTAGTACAATTTGCATTAACCACTGCAGATCCATGTAGCTAGTGCCTGTAAATAGTCCCAAGTGGATTTTTAAACCTTAGCAACATGTTATCCACGTGTTAGGATACAGAGATGGGCACAGGTCACGTGTCCCATTGAGGGCTATGGGTAGGAACCTTTCTGCTGCGGAACCTTCTATGAAAGTCGCGGGGAAGGAGTTAAGCACGGACCCATAGGAGACATGGAGGGCTCTGGTACAGTGTATCTGCCGCAGAATAAAAAACCCATGGTGTGTGTGGAGTACCCAGGCATTGTGCAGAATGTAGATAAAATGCTGCAGACCCTGGGAGGGGAGAAAAGCGTGTCCCGGGTAAGACATGGTCTGAGAGCACATGGAGTGGGTAACTACCCCCCCCCCCAAAGGTGGTAGGACATGGCCAGTAATATGATCAAAGATTGTAAAACATGGCTAATATTATAAATCATCAGCAATTACATCAGGCTCTCCCCATCACCTGAGCACATACAAAACCTACTTACATTATTCAAACTTAATAATTCACTGTAAAAATACTGAACATGTGTCAATAATTTGCAACATCTTGATTGACTACTGATTCTGTCCACAATAATGTTGCTCTGCATATCATTATGGCCTAATATATTACAATATATTTCAGTACTGGTATATATTACAGTATATATCAGTACGGATTAATATATTACTGTATATATCCGTACGGGTCTTTATATTACCGTATATATCAGTACTGGTCTATATATTACAGCATATATGAGTATGGATTAATATATTAACGTGTATATATACGTACTGGTCTATATATTGCAGTATATATCAGTACTGGTCTATATATTACAGCATATATGAGTATGGATGAATATATTAATGTATATATCTGTACTGGTCTTTATATTACAATATCTATCAGTACTGGTCTATATGTTGCAGTATATATGAGTACAGGTCTGTATATTGCAATATATTTTAGCACTGGTCAATATATTACAGCATATATCAGTACTGGTGTATATTTTACAGTATATATGCGAACTGATAAAGATATTAAAGTATATATCACTACTAGCCAATATAATACTGTGTATATATTAGGCATATCAAGAATGATTTTGAAAAATATAGTCACTAGAACAACTACAGCTTATTGTATTTGTTCTGTTGAGTATAATTATTGCCATCAGGCTTTTTGCAGTAAACATTGTATATTCAGAGATAAGGCAATGTTTACATTACAGCCTAGGGATACCTCCACTGGCAAATCCTCAGATGGCTACTAGAGGTGCTTCCTCTGCTTGTAGACACTGAACGTTCCCTATAAAGATGCATTGATTCAATGCATTTATATAAAAATAAGCTGATTGGCCAGGGCTGTGAGTCTGAGGCTTATGTTCGCTTTGCCCCTGATCTGCCTCCTTGACAAGCTCAGCCAATCCAATGTTTTGCTATATGAAAGTATTGTGATTGGCTCAGAACACCACTTCTGATTATATTAGCCAAGCAGGCAGTCTGGGGTAAAGGTAAGATTATACTATATTTATGGGGGGCAGTCAGGAATACATGTTTGTGTTCCTGACTCTATAGTGTTCCTTCAAATTTATCTATCTCTGAATTTATAACTAATTTCATAATGCTGGGTATTAGTTGTGATAAAGAAGATCTGGAGAACCTTTAATAGATCAGTGCTCTTGTTTGAATTTTACAGATTTACGCTGATCCTACCAGGAGGCTGGAACTGTATTTCAGGCCAAATGACCCTTACTGTCATCCTTTATGTGCCAATCGCTTCCCAACCACAACCATGATTCTTCGAGTAAAAAAGAGAGTCAGAAGGAAGAAAGCTAATGAAATGCAAATATCCGAGCCAAATCAGGAGGGCAGTATAAGCATGGAGATCATTGGTGTTGTGGGTACAGTCTACAAATTCCAAGGTGTGTAATTTACTATTAAAGAGTTACTCCAACCTGTATGAATATTTTTTTTAAATGATGTCCCTCCATCGCTGTAAATTTTTCTTTAAATAAGAGTAACTTACCTTTATCCAGTGCCAGTGTTCTTTCAAATTCCGTTTCCTATCAGAATATGCTTCCTTCGCTCAGGAAACACTTTGTGTTAGGAATTAGAATGTGACAGAACCCCGTGCAAAGATCGCCCCATCTGTCATCATCAGCAGCCACAAACGGTTGAATAAAAGGCTTCTCGTAGAGAAGGTTGAACTATTTAGCCGTTTCAGAGTTTATGTGGACAGAACAGAGTTTGGGGCTGCTAATGTCACGTTTGTCAACTCATATACCGGCATACATAATATAATTATGTATAATATAGTATAAGGAGTCAGAGGTATCATAAATTGAGGAGTCGGAATCAAAGGCTTTGTGTACCAACTCCACAGCCCTGTTCGGGTCTCATAGATTTTCTCAAATAATTTCTTTTTTTTATGTGAGTGTTAGTAATGCAAAGATTAACAAGTGTCTGAATCTTATGCTCTTTAGGCATGTCCGACTTCCAGTATCTCGCCTTTACCCGGAGTTCTGATGGCACCATAACCTCTTTGTACGACAAAGTTCTTCTAAAGAAACCAGAGAAGGAAGAGTTTTTTCATCAGGATATAGTTTATCACATTCCACCACCAATATTCTCACGGCTGGATAGCGCAATTGATTATCATTACCGGCCAAATGTCAATCACAGGTAATTTACTATTTGCTATACTGTGTCTTACAAGTCTTGCTGAAATCCAGTGGTACTTAACTCTTGTACTGGGATTAAAAACCAAGCCTCCCATGCCATTTTAGTGGACCTCAACTGTTTGGAACAGACATGTCCTGTTCTCCACTGGCTGGAATCCCAGGCATTTTTCCTCACAAGAAATGATTTACCTCAGGGACACCGCCTTTTTTAGTGCAGAAGAGACGACATTGGGAAAATTCTTATAAAAGTGTATTGTAGAATCTTTGTTTATTAAAATATAAAAATGGATCACCGTGCTTTTTTTCCAAATGAAGGGGGTACGGCTGGGAGCAAACACACCGAGGGAAGTAGGGGACATACAAGCTTCCTCTTGCAGTGTGTGCTGACAAGATGTAATTTTTGGACAGAGTTAACATTAGGCAACCTAGAACAGAATTCCCCCTTTAAAGAATGTAATGAGTTTATCTATGTCCGATGTTCACTTGCTTACGATAAGTTACCATATGTATTGATTCCAACATTAACATTTACTTTAGTGTCAGTGTAATGTAATAAAAGGCCACCATCTCATGAGGATTATCAGGGGCTTAGATAAGATTTTTCTTGTAACTTAAAATCGAAACTTCATTTTTTTTCCATCCCCCCCCCCAAAGGGAGGGTTTTCAGTCCCCTCAGGTGTCCAGTGAAAATTTGATTGGTTTGAGCAGGGCTCGTAGACCACATAATGCAATCTTTGTCAATTTTGAAGATAATGAAGTGCCCAGAAAACCCCATCAGGCTGCCGTGAAGAACTGGGAAAAACTTTGCACAAATGCAATAGATATTCACGCAGAAGAGGAAATGAAGAGGGTAAGTCTAAACTACTGCCTAACATATATGAGTGAGATTAATGCATCTGTAAGGGCTGCGGATGCTATATTTGGTGAGCTGGACACTGTTGACAGTACAGTTGCAAGCTCTATTACCCAAGAAAGCTTGGAAGTTGGGACAGGACCCAGGAAGTATGTGGTAGAACAGGGACTAACAAATTTAAAAGGATTTCTATTATATGAGGAGATGTAACGGGTGGTGGACACAAAGCGGAGAAGAGATCTAATACTGCAATGCATGCAGGAGCAGAAGAATGCTTGGTTTCAGGCACAATCGCAGATGCATAACCAAGCACGCTTCGTCTAGAGCTAAAAGTCTGGTAAATGGTTACAGTGCATGCGCAATGCTGTAAACAGCATTGTCACATCAACATAACTTTGGCTATTTTGTGTCCTTATTTGGCACCAGGAGCACTGGAGCAGTTTTGAGCCAAATGATGCTGATGTATCACCACCCACTATTGGCATCAAAATGACAGCTATACGCCTTGATGCATGCTTGTGTGAGTGGAGCCCTCAAATCAAAAGATGGATTCTTCCCTTTTTAATTAGTGTGTGTGTATATATATATATGTGTGAAAGTGATTGTTTAAGGAACTAAAAGTACTCTCCCTCCAGCAAAACAGTGGACTGAAATATTTGATTTTTTATTTATTTATTTTTTGCTCTGCACATTTTATATACCTCTTACCAAAAGCACTTTCTGGTCCCTTATATTTTCTAGCTCTTTAATATTCGTCCAGTTTGGTCAAGAAGTGCAATTAAAGCCAACATCAGTCTCCACCCGGACAAACTGAAGATGCTTCTGCCTTATGTGGCTTATTATATGGTGAGTTTTGCCAACACAGTTCTCTCTACCCCTTTTTGTTTTTAAACCTCTTGATGTGTGGAATTCATTTTTATTCTTTTTGATGTTGCACACGGCTATGATAAAAAAAACAAAAACAAAACTTCTAGTGATACTCAGTTCAGTAAGTGAGTTATTCTATAAGGTCCTGTTTATTTAGTTATAGTATTACTCACATTCAGATGACAAACATTATAAGCTCTCTATAGCATTTTTTGTTTTTTTTTGCTCTTTATTGTTTTGTTCTATTATGTTTTCACACATACTCTGTGTATCTGTTCAATGCAGTTGACTGGTCCATGGAGAAGTCTTTGGGTACGTTTTGACTATGACCCCAGAAAGCACCCCGAGGCAAAAATCTACCAAGTACTGGATTTCCGGATTCGATGTGGAATGAAATATGGTAAAAATGAGAGCTATTTTAGGCAGTTTGATGAAATTGACAATTATGGAGACCACCTGTATTTCAATAGGATAGCAATTGCATAATTTGCAGTGATTTTCACTGATTTGTGCTTGCAAGCCTAGACATTGCTCTTTCGATTGCATGATAGCAGCATACATGATACACGCAGACCAGAGGAGGGGTTTGTTGTGTCTAATTCTTCCTTTTTTTCCCCCAAAAAGAGTTTATTACTCAGGTGGTCAGTTCCTCTTGAAGTAGATTAGCCAAGTTCAGTTGTTACTGGAATGATGTAACATTGGATCTTATGTAAGGAATAAAATAAACTATTAGTAAAAACTGCTTGAAGTTGGATTCCATGGAAGATTTACAATTTGATTTCAAAAACTTACAATTAAAACTCATTTGATTCTATCATGGTTCTGTATGGACACACACTTAAGTCAAGTCAGGCAATCACATTTGAAAGCATATGGTCTAATATAACATCTTCATATGAACACATTCCTACTCTTATAGTGACTGGATCTGAGACTTGAAGAATTTTCATATACCGCAAAAACAAATGTATTCTTATTTAATTCTTTAACCCCTTAGTGATCAGACCATTTTTCGATTTTCTTACCGTTAAGGACCAGGGCTGTTTTTACATTTCTGTGGTGTTTGTGTTTAGCTGTAATTTTCCTCTTGCTCATTTACTGTACCCACACATATTATATACAGTTTTTCTCGCCATTCAAATATCTATCTAAAGATACCATTATTTTCATCATATCATTTACTATGAACAAGTTATAAAATAGGATGAAAAAGTGTAAAAAACACACTTTTTCTAACTTTGACTCCCAAAATCGGTTACGCATCTACAACCGCCAAAAAACACCCCTGCTAAATAGTTTATAAATCTTGTCCTGAGTTTAGAAATATCCAATGTTAACATGTAATTGGCTTTTTTTGGAAAGTTCTAGGAAAGTTCTAGGGTAAGAAGTACAAGTAGCATTTTGCTATTTCCAAACCATTTTTATTTTTTTAAATTAACGATTATATTGTAACACTGATATCTGTCAGGAATCCCTGAATAACCCTTCACATGTATATATATATATTTTTTTTTTCTCAAAAGAAGACAACCTTGGGATATTTTGACTCTTTTCATCCATTTTACCACCAATCTATGCCAAATTAAAAATAAATTAAAAATTGGTGATTCTTTTGACACAAAAAGCAATTTAAGAATACATGTACTGAGAACTTTAAGGATTACTGCCAAAGAACACCCCAATGTTCAGCAACATCTCCCGAGTACAGTGATACCACTCATGGATAGGTGTGTCTGGTTCTCTGGGGCTTAAAAGACCCTATTTGGAGGGTGCGCATTCCAGTTTTCTAACTTGCAATTTTCACAGCTGGTCATCATGCACCAATGTCCTATTTTGGACATTTTTGAAGCTGGCCAATGTAATTTACCCCCATCTTTTTAAAGTAGACACCCTAGGGTATTTCAAATGGTGATATTTTAACACTTTCCATGCACTAATTCTACTACCAGTCGTTGTCAAACTTTTGGGTAGCCATTTTTTTTTTTTCTCTCACATTGTACTTTAGGCATGGATTATCAGTTCCTGTTATGTGTTACCGACAAAGAACACCCCAATATGTGTTCAGCAACATCTCCTGAGTACAACAGTGCCCCCAATATACAGGTTTTATGTTTTTTTGCAAACTTACTGGGGTCAAATATAGGGCTTTCCCCTTTTGCATGTTTGCACATTGAAATATAGCAGATTGGTTTGCTGGGCCTTTGTTGCCTCTCAGACCATATGGCAGCTCAGGAATGAAAATCAAACTCTGGCCAAAATTAGCATTTATATTTGTGTTTTTTTGCATTTTTCACACCTAAACTGCCATTTCACTGATTTATATTATCAGTATAATAAATTTTACTGCTCCTAAAACTCTCATATTTGTATAGAGTAATGTCTCACGAGTACAACAGTACCCCCTCAAGTACAGGTTTTATGGTGATTTGGAAAATTACAGGGTCATGAGATTTGCCAATTTCTGTTTTTGTAAATTGCTATTTACCAGATTGACTATGTTGCCTTTGAGATGGTATGGCAGCCCAGAAATGAAAATTAACCCCACCATGACATACCATTTGAAAAAGTAGACAACCCAGGGTATTCAAAATGAGGTATGTCCAGTCTTTTGTAGTAGCCACTTAGTCACAAGCACTTGCCAAAGTTTTATATATATATATATATATATATATATATATATATATATATATATATATATATATATATATATATATATATATATATATATAAGAGATAAACCTTGGCACTCACCCTCTATTGAAGATATAATGAATACAGCCTGGGTGCAAACCTTGGCGTTGAGTATATACAAAAATGAACAGAGGTGCACTCACAGGTCTTCAAATGTGGTTCTATTTATTTTACATGCAAGAATACATGTGTGCAAAAATCCAGTAAATCGACGTTTCGACCCCTAAAGGGTCTTTTTCAAGATCCATATATATACTTTCTTATGGGGAGGTCTAATGCGCGCCCGGCCCTTGCCCTTGGAGCGTGGGCAGAGCCTGACCCAGCACCGAGGGACATCGGCGCTAGATTCAGGTAAGTCACTGAAGGGGTTTTAACCCCTTCAGCAACATGGGATTGTGGAGTGGAGGGAGAGGGGCACTGCAGGGTCCTTCAGTGCCAGGAAAATGGATATCTTTTCCTGGCACTGGAGAGTCCCTTTAAGGGGATATATGTATTTATAACGTCATTCTAAATGTATTTTGATTTACATATATATGTATATTAATATTAGAACAAATTGAAACCGGTATATAATTTTTTTCAAATTTAATTTTATTTTTCCATTTATTTCCATTTATTCTGTAGAAAGCATAGATGCTTTTATTCAGCACAAATCATACATCAACGTTTCAGTCCAACCGGACTTTTCTCAAGATCAGGTCCCTAAAAGGAATAAAAACTCACCTTATTTCAAGCACCGCGCGGGTTCGCTGGCGATGTCTCTGCTCCCCAGGAGACATCATCATAATGGCTGAATTTTAGCCAGTCCAATGCTTTCCCATGGGCCCTTTTGGCCAATCAGCACCTCCTCATAGAGATGCATTGAATTAATGCATCTACATGAGGAATCAGCATCCCCATGCAGAACATGGGGACGCTGAACGGCAGTGCTGCCTGCTGTGCAGCACTCAGCCAGGAAACACCTCCAGTGGCCATCTGAGGAGTGGCCACTTGGAGATGTCCCTAGGGGCAATGTAAATACTGCCTTTTCTCTAAAAAGGCAGTGTTTTCATAAAAATGCTTGCATGAACTACTACATTACTCACCAGAACTACTACATTAAGCTGTAGTTGTTCTTGTGACTATAGTGTCCCTTTAAAGGACCACTATAGTGCCAGGAAAACAAACTCTTTTTCTTGGCACTATAGTGCCCTGAGGGTGCCCCCACCCTCAGTGTCCCACTCCTGCTGTACTGAAGGGAGGGGGGGGTGGTTAATCCCTTACTCTCTCGGCGCTGGGACTCTTCTCCCTCTTCTGATGTCATCGTCTGAAGGCAGATGCGCGGCAAGAGCCGCGCGCGCATACAGCCAGTCCATAGGAAAGCATTCTCAATGCATTTCCTATGGACACTGGCGTCCTCTCACTGTGAAAATCACAGTGAGAAGCGCCTCTAGCAGCTGTCAATGAGACAGCCACTAGAGGCTGGATTAAACCTAATGTAAACATAGCAGTTTCTCTGAAACTGCTATGTTTACAGCAGGCAGGGTTAATCCTTGGTGGACCTGGCACCCAGACCACTTCATTGAGCCGAAGTGGTCTGGGTGCCTATAGTGGTCCTTTAAGATATATTTAGTAGTCAAAAACTCTGTTTGCTTTATGTGAGTCTGTTTAGCTCCTTTTCCAGCTTAGCAAATAATTTGATTACTGAAAATGTGTGAAACATATCTTTGCATTTTGTTAATAGGCTACAAAGTATGCAAAGTTTACAGATTTTCTTTCTTTTTTTTTATTTTTTTATTTTATTGAATAGAAATGTGAACCATATGAGGTCATGTTGCTCTCTGATCTATCAACTATTCTAGATTGTTAGCTCATTAGACTAGTCTTCAAAAAAAACCCTGTGAACATGGTAATAGTTTCTCTTCTCTATTCTCTCCTGCCATATTAAAATGCTTTTATATAAATGCCAATAATAAGAAAGTAGTTTTTAGACCTGGAAAAGCAGGGCGATTACACGTAGCACCCTTAATGGACCAACACTGGACTTGGGTGTCAAGCTGTCTAGTATATCAAAGCCCTGTATTTTTTTCGAATTTTTAGACGTGTGTTTTAGGGTCACTGTTGGAGCAAATGTTTATTTTTTTCCCCCCCTTTTTTTATATAGTGCCAATATATTCCACAGCACCTTACAATTATTGAATGGGAATAATTGACAACAAAAGGTAATTAGCATCAAAAATATTAACAGAGACAAAAGGTGAATTGGGCCCTGCTCAAAGGAACTTGAAATCTATGAACTTTATATTTTGTTTAATATTAAAAGGGTGTCCAAACTAACAACGTATACTCCTTACAAAAAGTTTCAAAAGTATGAAAAATGTTTATATCCTGTTATTCAATCACTATTGTGCCCCTGGTTTAACCCACATTTATTAAGGTTGTTCAGACATCTTTTTTTTTTTTTTTTAATTCTTTTATTTTTATTGTGCTTTGGGTAACATAACATATAAGCTCTTGGTGTCCCAATAGCATTCCTCGAGCACATTTTCCAGCGAAACAATTGGAACATTAGGATTATCAGCACTTTTTTTTTTTTTTAAACATGAGAGTAGTATTGATTAGATCAGATTATTGGTAAATGTAGGTCACAATAGCCAGCGTTGTGGGTACAAGAGGTTAATATACATGACTGACCTAGATTAGTAACATGCACAATTCTTTGCTAGTGTATCTGTCTTATGAGGCAAATGCTCATTAGTGTATGCGTGGTAGGCAGGCTAAACTGTGGGTCTAAGCATATAATCTAAGGCTACATTAACATATTAAGAGGTGAGATGCCTACGGTTACAGTAGGCTGGCTAAGCGTATAAAACATATCTGAGTAAAGCAAATAAAGGGTACTGGCAGATTGCACAGTGCGTAAGAGTCAATAGAGGGGGAGATCACCGGATTTTGTGTGCGTTTTACGGCTCTCAGTGTCCAGTGCAGCCGGCGTCCGCCTGTCTCAGGTTTTCAGTCCAGTGCTTGTTTCAGCCGATGCCCAGTTTAGATATGGTCTGATTGCAGGCTGATGGCTTCTCCAGGGTAACCGCCCCCCCCGTCTCCCGGTCAATGTCGCGGTCTGTTCCATGGGTTCTCCTGTGCAGGAACGTGTCAGGCTGGGCATAGGTCTCTGGAGCCACTGTAGGGCGAGCGGGTTGGGTGCACCGGCGGGTCTCGCTTTGGTGCGTGGGGGCGTTGGCGCTGGTGTCCAGGCAATTTTGCGCTGTTTCCCACTGTGGTGACCTTCGGCTCCGGTTCTGTCTGGGGGCCGTTCTGGCTCGAGGGGGATTTACTCCCAGGTGGCTGCGGAGTGCCGGGCGGATCCATCCCGCTACCGCTCTCATCACCTGCTTGAAGATCAGTCTCCGTGTATTTAGCCTTGTTCGGAGCCGGTCATAAAACTCCCATGTATGCTTGGGAGGCTCGGTAAGTGGGCGCGTTATTGTAGGCTGCTTCCGTGCCGCCATCTTGCTTGGGCCTTGCCCTCCCCATTTTGCTTTGGACATTGTCACTTAGTCAGGCAATATTGTGGGGGTAGTCGCCCCCAGCGAGGACCGGGATATCCCCCGCCGGTCCAGAGGGGGGGGTAGCAGGGCTGTGTGGAAGTCTCGCTTGTGAGTGTGTCCTGTGCCGGGTGATCGTCCGCCTCCCCCGGACCTCAGGCTTTGCTCTGATGTAGGCCTCATGGTCAGCACAGGTTTTTCTGCGTCGCATCGGGACTGGACCGGTACTATTCTATGTCTCATGGTGTCTTGGGTCGGTCCCCGGGCACTGTTTGTTGCCATCGTTGATAGGTCGCTCTGTAGTAGCCAGTTTATGCTCTTTATTACAGGAGCTCTTAGACTGTGCGACCGGCCATCTTGGGTGTCAGGCCCCGCCCCCCTACAGACATCTTTTTATGTATACATGTATTCTTTGTATCATTAACAGTTTTATTTGGCATTTGGTACAGTGTTAAGTTTGTGTTGGTAAAATAAAGTACCTTTTGTTTTTCTTGTACAATAGGGTATGCTGCAAATGACATGCCAGTGAAAGCTAAACGCAGCACTTACAACTATAGTCTGCCCATCACCATTAAGAAACCAGGTAAGTCTGGAAATAACTCCTACCTGGGACTTTCATGGGCACACACTTTGCCAGTAGTTCAGACACAGGGTTGGCCTTTTATTTTACTGATCCTTTGCACTTTTTCAGCACCACAGATGGTCAGCATACAGGAACTGACACAAGGACTTGGTACATCTACCATTTCCTCAAGTAAAAAAGCACCTTCAAACAAGTACAAACTAAAGGTGAGTGCTCACTTTTTCTGTTTTATTTTTGATTTTTTAATGGCTGTTATAAGTAAGCTGATATTGTGTACAATATGCATCAACTTTAGTACTTGTTCAAAATTCAGTGGAGGTGCTTGTCTAACCTCTGTGAGTGTGTGTGTATAGAAACAATTGTGAAAAATCCCTCAAACAGAAATTTGGATAAAATTAGAGACATTTAGAGAAGAGACTTACCACACATGTGCCCTAACTTTTAATTAGTAGTAAAGCGTGATCATGTTTAAACCTGCATTGACACTGCAATTTCCCTCAGTCCTCTTGACACCAGAGACGGCCAGTATGTCTGATCGAGAGCAATGATGGCCAATCTAATTTACCGTGGTGCTCATTCTGGAATGTAAACCTGTCTAGTGCCACAGTGGTGAAGTACAGGGTTGTTTTTGTCTAGTTTTACTATGTATGAATTCTGCTATGTCAATATGTGACCTTCTGAAATATGGTGTAAATCTTTTTTTTTTTTTTTCTGTTGTGTAAGGGTGAATGTAGAGGTTTGTGAATTATTGTTTTCTAATGTCACGGTTTCGTGCTTTGTGTTGAGGTGAATATAATGTGTATTTTCAAAGATCATGTTTGGACACCTGTTGATGCCTCTGGGCCCTTGGTACATCACAGAATGCCGTACTATTCAGTCCTTTCTTGGGTAGTGCCTTTGTATAGAACTTTGTGTGCTGTTCCTAAAATAGCATTTTAATTCCAGTTCTTACAGTTTGTATCCCAAATTCATTTGTGCTGATCCCTCTGCCTACAATGCCTGTTTTGAACCCATTCTTTTGATTGTTTGCAGGAATCGGTTTATATTTTTCAGGATGGAACCTTGCCACCATACCGCCAGATGTTTTACCAGCTCTGTGATTTACAAGTGGAAAGGTAATTTTTCTCTGCACATTTGAAAAGACAGGCTTTAGAACAGGTATATATCATGGTGCTAAACAATTGTATCGCTTATCCTATAGCCACTCACTAAATTAGATATAATGTTTAGAAGGGTGATTTTTCTTTTTCGCCATCTTTGTTTGATATCTGCTGTCATTGGTTCCTTTCCTCCCTCATCTCATTTTGAAATAAAAAGAAAACTTGTGAAATCATAGCATAATTAAGTAACAGTGTAGTCCATGACATGAAAACCAGAGTTATATTCAAGTACATAAAAGGCATCACAAACAAGGGATTGAATATTTTGTTTAAGAAATACTACTAACGGTGAACCGAACAGGGTACATCACAAGCTTCTCTGCTATCTCGTCGAAGACTGCAGGCAATGCATGGTAGTAGAATCCCTGTTTCTCTAAAGCGATTAGGTGTGAGATGTACTAGAGGATTGAAAATATTAGGCCAGGCTGTCTCAATGCAGAATATGCCATTCTCTATTAGACTTTTATCAGCAGATATGTTTTTTTTTTTAACGTATAGTTGCAACATCTTTAAGTTTTCTAACATAGCAACAACTATTTTGTTACAAATGAGTCGTGTATTCTAACTTGGCAATAACGTTACAAACAGTGACAATTTTTAAATTCTACGGAGTTCTTTTGGTGGGATTTAATGGCTTTCAAAATGGCATGTTTTCTCCCAGCCTGTTAAGATGTGCGTTATTTTACCATTTCATTATATTGTATTACCTTGTTGTTATATAGTATTATTTTATTATTTATGTAGTGCCAGCAAATTCTGAAGCGCTGTACAATGGGTAGACTAACAGACACGTAATTGTAACCAGACAAATGGACGCACAGGAACGGAGGGGTTGATGGCCCTGCTCAATGAGCATACATGCTAGAGGGAGTGAGGTATAGTAACACAAAGGGTATAAGTAGGGGTAATAAAATAGGTTGCTAGAAAAGTAGTCATTGAGCACTTAGTAGGTTATTTCTGACAGTTGCAGGAGAGGAGTCATGGGGAGGGGGGAAGGAATGAAAACCCACTAACAGTTTAAATGATATGCTTTCCTGAAGAAGTGTTTAAAAAGATTTATTTTGAAGGAGTGGAGACTGGGTGAGCATCTAACAGAGAAGGGAAGGGAGTCCCACAGAAAAAGTGCAGCCCTGGTGAAGTCTTGGAGGCAAGCATCAGATGTGGAAGTATGGACAGAGGATAGGCGTAGGTCTTCGGCTGAGCGTAGGGGCCTCGACGGGACATATTTGTGTATTAGGGAGGATAGGTAGGTTAGAGCAGCAATATGTAGGGACTTGTAAGCAAGCACCAGAATCTTCAATTGAGCCCTAAATCTAACTGGAAGCCAATGTAGGGACTGACAGAGGGGGGAGGCTTTGGAGGTGCGTGCGGACAGAAAAATAAGCCTCGCCGCCGCATTCATTATAGATTATAGCAGTGCAATCTGGGCACACGTAAGAGAGAAGGGGATTGCAGTTGTCAAGGCGAGAAAGAACAATGGCATGGACCAGCACCTTAGCTGCGTCTGGTATTAAATAGGGGCTAATGCAAGCTATGTTTTGAGATGAAAGCTGCAGGGTTTGGCCATCGACTGGACATGAGGGGTGAAGGAGAGGTCGGAGTCAAAGAGAACACCTAGGCAGCGAACCTGCGAGGTAAAGGTGATGGTGGCACCATTGACTTGGAGGGAGGCAGACAGGGGAGTAGCAACACCTGAGGAAGGAAAGATCAGAAGTTCTGTTTTAGACAGGTTGAGTTTAAGGAAGTGAGCAGCCACCCAGTTGGAAATAGCAAAGAGGCAGTCAGAGACACTAGTCAAGATGGGCGGAGCAAGATCAGAAGAGGACAGGTAGATGCTGCTGCCCATCCCATGTGTTCCCTATTAAGGGTTAATAAGCATGTAGGGATGTATTTAAAAAATACCCATTTCTGTCTCATTGGAGATATCTTGCCAGAATCTCAAGGAATCAAGGTGAATGGTTAGAGTTAGAACCCACCTAAGAGGTCTGCCTTGACGTGGCATGTGTGCATACCCTCTCATGGCCATTGGAGGTAACTAAAAACCTCCATTTGTTTGAAAAGACTTAGGGATGTGGAAAATGGATACAATGCTGGCAAGAACTCTTCGCAAAGTCAAGCACACATAGCAGCCATCAAGCACAAAGATGGCACCATGAAAACCACCCTGACGGACATACCCCAAGTGTATACGGAATATTACCAGTCTATATAACCACTCCCCTGTCGGGTGAACCTTCAGCCTCGAGAGGATGAGGCTATTTGCTCTTTCCTCAGTACGCTGGGACTCAAAACAACGGACCATGGATGTCAGTAATATACTGAACGAGAAAATACCGGGCAAATAAATCGACAAAGCCATCTCGGAATTAAAAGGGAACAAAGCACAGGGACCAGACTGCTTCGAAGGTGGGTATTATAAAACCTTCCAAGAACTTATCCCACGGTTTGAACTCCACTTCATCGACTTCAGGGAGGGAGGGACGCCAGATAGACATGTCACTGGCTAATATTGTCTTACTTCCAAAACCAGGTAAAGACACGCTATCCCCAACGCACTATAGGCCCATTTCCCTAATAAACCACGACTCCAAAATTTGCGCTAAAATTTTGGCAGACAGCCTAAATCCGCTCCTAGCTAAACTTATACACGCAGGTTGGATTTATCCCCTTTATCGACCTTTATTCGAGAATACCCAACCAAACATAGACATTATATGAAGACAAACGCCCACAAACACACCCACCATAGTAGTCTAGCTAGACACCGAAAAGGCGTTTGATAAGGTCAAGTGGCACTATCTTTTTCGCCTTCTAACCTACCTGGGATTCCCAGCTTCATACATAGTATACATTGCTTTGATGTACGTTAACGTCACAGCCCAGGTTACTATCACAGATGCCCTTCCGAGCCCATTCGGGCTTAGCTGTTACGGCTCCCAGCTCTTCTTCCGGTGTGGCCACACATAAACTAAGCAGCTACACCTACAGAGGTATTTCATACTTACCTTGGTCGCGGCAGGCCAGTGCCTGATTTTTTCCGGTCCCCGGCAGGTGCGACTTCTTAGGAACGCCAGCCGCTGTGGTTCGGGTTTTAATAGTAAACTTATCTTCTCCCACATCAAAGATGGTGCCAACATGTGTGCGACACCACGTCATAGACGCGCGCACACACGTTTTGGGGTCAGAGGTCAAAGACAGCCAATTACAGCCTAAAGAGGGTTACTTAAACCGAAATTACATTTTTGTCGGTGCCCTCTCGTGGTTTCCACTAGCCGGGTATCCGAGAGTGTGTTCCTGATCGTGTTTTTTCTGGTATTTGACTTTGGCTTTGTTTCGACTTCCCTGATTTCTGGTATCCTTGACTTCTGGCTTTCCTCATCATTGTGTCACGTGCTGTGTCCCTGACCTTGGCAAATATTTTGATTATTCTCTGGTACGTTAAGTCCGACCACTCTAAGGTCCGGTTAGACGTTATCCTTAGTCCTAGGTGTGCTACTAATCTTCGTGCTGGATCAACTATAATCCTGACATTAGCAATGGGACAAAACAGGGATGCCCTCTGTCCCCCCCTACTATTTGCTATCTTCCTAGAGCCCCTTCTGCAGGCTTTCCAAAAACATCCACAAATACAGGGGGTTAGAGTCAGAGGACAGGAGTTCCTGGTCTCTGCATATAAGTGCGATGTCCTTCTGACTGACAAACCCAGTCGATTCCATGGAGGAGGTGAGGGACGTGCTCACTCGATATGGAACAATTTCGGGATATAAAGCAAACATGGAGAAATCCAGCACACTGCCGATAGGGCTGTCTGCGGTGGACACGGCATCTATTCATAACGTCCACAATATTCAATTAGCATTTAGATCCATTAAGTATTTGGGGATCCAGCTCACAGCAGACTCCTTAAAATTATATGAGTCAAACTATACTCCGCTTATCAAACCCTGCATAAGATAAATGGATAACTGGATGGACAAACCTATCTCATGGGTGGGACGAATCCACTCCGTTAAGATGAACATACTCCCACGTATTTTATTCCTCTTTCAGGCCCTTCCCATCCAAGTTTCAAAATCCGATCTGGCACCGCTACAAAAAACAATAGGTTCCTTTACATGGCAGAATAAACACCAAAGGTTCTCAATAAATTACTTATATCGCCAGATATGGAGGGGAGGGCTTGACCTACCGCACCTTCACTTTTATTATCTGGCTGCACAATTGGCACAGGTAGCGATGTGGCATACTCCAATAGATGACAGGCGGTGGGTAGATTTGGAGATCTTGCTCATGGGAGCGGACCTCCCTCAATTCTTTATGTGGGTGCCCAAAGACCATCGGATTATGCTACGGACCACTTGTCCTGCAATCCTGAATTCGCTGAGAATGCAAAACAGACTCCCATAAAAGATACGGCACATAAACCTTTAACATATGTCTGAGCCAATCTATGCCGAAAGGCTTAATTACCTTACTCTACACCCAACTGAGCATCGAAACGAAAGAATAGGGCCCTCTAACTTATACAGAACTGGGGGAGGCTCTAGAAGGTATAGAATGGCAGGAGATCTGGGAAGCCAACAATGCCACATTCCTTTGTGTATCCTAAAAGGAACAGTCTCGATGTTCCGCTGGTACACAACTCCCGTAAAACTGCAAACAATGCAAAGATCACCATCAGACACATGCTGGAGGGGGTGCAGGTATAGGGGCACAAATATACACGTGGTGGGAATGCCCCCATATCCAAATGTTCTGGAGCAGCATTAAGGGTCTAAAAACCCAGATTTTCCAAAGAGCGCCAGACCTCGACTCCTGGGTATACCTTCTAAACAGATCGACAGAAGGGTGGACCAGACACCAACAAAATTTAGTACATAAGATTACGCTAGCAGCGATGAGAACGGTAGCACAGGCATGGTTGAAACCAAGAGTCCCCACTGTAGCAGCAGTCATAATTCAAATGAAAGACATCTGCCTCATGGATAACGTAACAGCAAGAGTCAGGGGGTACAATAAAGTTCCACAAGATTTGGGAGCCCTGGACGGCTTGCACCCTTGCAACCTGACAGCAATTTATCCAGACTGACTACATGCGGCAAGATATTGAGAAAAGTTCCACTGGCGACAATATAAGCCTGCAAGTTTAGGATGTAACAGTCGTGTCAGACTCGAGCTGATAACTTTCCAAATTCTATGGCTTCCTAATGAAATCATAAATACATGACTCCATATATTGATGTGGTAACATCGCAACCACTTAAGGACTGGGGTAGATACTTTACTACTGCATGTCTCTGTGATCATATGCCTACCACGACTAATGTTTCTCTGTATTTGGTCTATCATTGATTTGCTATGTGGAATTCAATATATGATTTGCATTTTTTTTTTTTTTTTTTTATGCCGACAAAAATAAAGAACTGCAAAAAGAATACAGAACTATTTTTATTTTCTATTTTTGTAATAGATGGGTTTTTTTTTTGTTTTTTGTTTTTTGTGGAGCTCCAAAATATCCTTATAATTATTGGAAGAGATCATAACACTGTGTCTGAAAGTAGGAAAATAAATGGTGGTACTTTGTTGTGTTAAGAAACTGGTATTTCAGTTGATTGCCACATTTCTCTGTCACACTTCTACAGCTTGCAGGCGGTCATCCATAAAAATGACGGCAAGGAGTCACAGTGTACAGAACGAGATGGTTGGTGCCTTCCAAAGACCAGCGATCAACTCCGAGACGCTATGTCACTCATGATCAAACAGATCATACGCTCCAAGAGACCAGGTGAAAATCACTATTTAAAAAGATAAAAAAAGCACTATTAGCAGAGACATTTGTGTGTGTGTGTGTGTGTGTGTGTGTGTGTGTGTGTGTCAAAACTCTGAATGCCAGTGTATCATGTTTCATAAGTTTTTATATGTTTACTTGTCAGGGTCTCTCCCTTTTTGCACTTTATATAAGACATGTTCTCGTTCAAAGACAAAATGCTAAATATTGCTTACTAAAACCCAATTTCCTGGAGCAATACCCACACAAACCACCTTCTGTGCCAATTTCAGGAACAAAGACAGGAAGCTTTCTTCTTTCCTCCACTCATGTGTTGCATCATCTGCTGCCCCAGATACTTGATATCCACCATTTCCTTTCCCCCATTTCATTCTCTATCAATACTCCCACTGTACTATAGTTAATATGCAGAAGATGGCTCCTGCACAATGCAACATTGCATATTTCATCAAGGAACCCCTCCAGTGCCCTATTCTCCTTGAGCCTGCCCCCCCCCCCCCTCCAATAGCATTCCTAGAGCCACATTTTCTAAATGTATCTCTCCTAAGCACATTTACTCTCTCTCCATGTCTCAAACCCCTAATCTGTAGAACAAAATAGTTAAAACTCTTTATAAATATATATAACTATAAACAATATTTCAGGGTGTTAACCAAAACCGTATACTGAAAGCAAAAAATGAGAACACTAGACTCAAGATTTTATTACTGTAAGAACAATAAGGATGATGAATTCTCTGCCTGAACAGGTGGTTTTATCAGAGTCTGTACAGATGTTTAAACAGCAACTGGATGGATATTTGCAAAAACACAACATACAGGGATATAATTTTTAAGATGTGGGGTAACAGCCTCTTGATCCAAAGAGAGACCTGACTGCCATTCTGGGGCCAAGAAAATTATTTTTTTCTAGTTTGTTGCAAAATTGGAAGTTCTTCAAACTTTTTTTTTTTTTTTTGTTGTTTGCCTTCTTTTGGATCAACAGCAGAAAGATTTTAGAAAGGTTGAACTTGATGGACACATGTCTCTTCAGCCTATGTAACTATATGTGAATGAGATAGAATTATTCTAGTGAATATAATGAAATAAACAACAAAAGGAAACACTTTAAAGGTTTTATTGCCAAGTCTGTATATACCTTTTCATGACAGTAATTTTGGATGCTCTTTGTTTTTTTTTTGTCTTTTTCCATAGCCCTTTTTTCTGGACCTTCAACCTCCACTGAGAACAAGGAGCAGCTGACTTATGAATCTGGAGAGGAAGAGGATGACGAGGAAGAGGAGGAAGAATTCCATCCATCTGAAGGCAGTGAAAATGAAATGGAAACAGAGCTTCTAGACTATGTTTAAGTAACTTCTCAGTCTTGCTGAGCTCAATCCTGAAGCTGTGCTTCATAAAGTTGCTAATATTGGTGAGACTGATCAGTGTAGGGGCCAAATTGTGTTTGTGACTGATCGCAGCAACTACAAACTCCCAGAGATTGTTACTTCGTTGATTGTATCGGAGATAGACCAGGACTTGTTTCTAGTGTTATTGGAAAAAAAACAAAAAACCCTAAAACTCCAAATACAGGGCTTCCAAAAGTTTGGTTTATTTAACCATTACCAATGGTGAGTCTGCAGGAAGTCCACCTTATTGCCAATTATTTATTGCTTATTACAAGTATTCATGAAATTAATCATTCTGGGTGTAGTATTTGTGAGAACACATTCTATTTGAATGCAGAAATTGGTTTTAGTGATCAATGGGCACATAAACTGGCATTTTCAATGGTGAGTATATGTTGGCACATTAAAGAGATACACTTTTTTTATTTTATATGTAATGCATTTAAAAAAAAAAAGTGAAAGAAAGGAAAATAAAAATTATACCTTGCACTACTTAATGAGTCTGCCCAGCAGAGCGAGCTGGGCTATGTGCACCAGTTGGCACAGCCATGGACTGCTCATGCATGCATAAGGTAAAATGGATATAGTCAACTCAAAAAAGAGTGCATGACCACTCTGAGGGGCTGTCATAGAGCATTAGGGATATTTACATTAGGTATTTTGAAAATAGTTTTTTTTTTTTCTTTTTTCTAACACCTGTCATTCAGTTCTTCGGCATGGAGTTTATGCTGAATAATCGATTGATAAGGGAGAGCAAAAGAGACAATCTACAGGCGGTCCTTCTGTTCTACACACATAGCAACTGCGGTGCATGTGCTGCAGTTGCTATGGAAACCCCCTAACAGCACTGCTAGCGCTGGCTAGGGAGTATAGGAACAGATGATAACAGTGATATCACTCTGTTCACATGCTGGCAATGAGACAAGCATGTAGGCGTCATATGAATCAATCAATGAAGAGGCTTGGCGGAGTAAGGCCAGACAAGAGGTTTGATTCAGAAGAGTAACACCAACATCTAAGCATAATGCAACGTGGGAGCAGATGGTCAGATAAGTGATAAAAGGTTCCCTTTAATAAAAGGAGGCAATATTTTAATATAATTTTTTAAAAGAATGATATGTAGAACCAGCAGGATACATTGTCATTGGCTTAAATCACCATCCTGTTGCAATATGTAAATGTACAATAGTGTTGTTTTACTAAAAATGTCAAAATATATTGGTGATATGTGACTTTGGTTAGGCAAATATAAAAGAAAATGAAGGCCGAAATAGCTGTGTTGGGAAAAAAGTAATCTAAAATGTTCACATTTTGACCTGAAAGGTACATTACAAGCACTGTAGCCTGCTGGTGCCAAGATTGCCCTGGATTCCTTCTAGTGAAAGTAGTCAACCTATTTGAGAATAGGAGGTGCTCAGCTTTTTCCGAACGCCATTCTCAAACAGTTTGCCTACTTAGCCTGGAAGGGTACCAGAGCACTTTTGGCACCATAATCACTACAATGCACTGCAGTGGTTATGGTGCTAGGAGTGTTCCTTTTATGTTTAGGAACCCACCCTTGCTCATCCTTTATTTCGTAATTGTATAAATTAATAAAAAATTACCACTTGCCCTATGCACATTGCCCTATGCACATTTAAATAGTTTTTTTTTGTCACTCCCACATCAAAGCAAACCTCTTAGGTGAGTCCTACAGGAAAAATTCACCGTCACCTAAAAGATATCTCCAACGAATCAGCGAGGAGTATTTTCCTGTACCCATAAACACTTATTAACCCCTTAATAGGGAACACATGGGGTTGGCGGCAGCACTGTATCATGGCTGTGCAATAGAAATTTAAAGCATGTGTTCAAACTCCCACTACTCCTGGGCATCCGCAAAGGCTACATTATACATTAGCTTTAGTATTACACAGCCGTGTTACAGTGTTAAAAGGTCACTTTTTAAAATAAAATGTTTTTTATATTGATTTAAAATGTATTTAAAAAATTTTTTTTTAATGTTTATACAGATATAAATGATTCATGTGTTATTGACCTATATGGTAGTTTGTATACATTTATGAATTATGTTTTTCTTTATTTCACAAACCACATGTAAGCAACACATATGGCAACATTTGAAAACATCAATTCACAATACAAATGATGTTATTGAATCGTACATTCTGCTGTACGCATCATGTGGAAAGAGGCTTTTTTTGTTAAGGGAAGTGATTTAACTCGGACCGTGTTCCATGCCTGAGAACTATCAAAAGGCAGCAGTATTATTAAAAAAAGCATTCTTATCAATACGGTATTATCAATGGTAGGTCATGTTACATCAGGTTAGAGCAGAGGTTCCCAAACAGGTGCGGCAAACAGGGGAGCCCCGAGAACTGTGCCTCCCTCTCCGGCTCGCTAGCACTTTGCTGACAGCCGGCATGGAGGGAGAGAGGACCAGGGGGACCTCTAACCTGCAGCTCCGCCAGGTTCTCTTCTCGCAAGCTTGGAGCATTGCTGCGGTTACCGCGGCAACACTCCGAATCTTGCGAGAGTGAACGCTAGCAGCTCCTGAGGCTGCTAGAGTACACTGTCACTACCAAGTCTTCCCCACCAGGGATTGCATTTTTAATTTTAATAGAAAAAAAACTAAGTATATATTTATTTATTTGCCCTCCTTCCCCCACTGACCCCACAGCACAAAATAGCTCCTATATATATATATATATATATATATATATATATATATATATATATATATATATATATATACACACACCCACACAAACAGTTTGACTACTTACCCTGGGAGGGCACTACTGGCACCATAACCACTACAATGTAATGTAGTGCTTATTGTGCCTGGACTTTTTCTTTAAAAATTCTACCAGTGTCACTCCCAAGATTAGGGGCCCAGTATATGCCGCAGAGCTGTGTGTGTATATATTTGATTTGCCTTGGAAGTATATTGAAATATTAAGGGCGCCTTGAACCTAACAAACTTGGGAACACTGGTCTAGCCTAAAAAAAAAAGAAATCACATTAACATTGCATGTCAAATTAAAGGAAATGGTTTATTGTCACACAGGTCACACTTTTATACATGGGGCCTCAACGTGAGATCCCCAGGGAGAACAAATTACATCCCAGGTGCCTTGGTGTCTGTAACTCATTTAACAGACACATTGGCATAGGTTAACAAAAACATAAAATTTCGAAGTTCCGTATCCACATCCCCACAATAATGCCATCCCTGTGAAGGTCTCTTCTGAACACCCAATTTGGCCAAGGAGCAATCAGTTTGGAGGTGACTAGCTCGAATTATATAGAAGGTGAAGTTTATAGAGGGTGGCGACGGAGAGTTCCACAGTGCTGGGTAGAAATCCCAGTCACCTAAAATGATTGTGCTATCGGTTGGTACATAGAGCTGCCTCAGGTCTTTGGTGTCATTCAACCTCGCCACCTCCTTTATCATCCCTTAAAAAAAAGCATCCTGATTGGTGTTTGTGGGACAGAGAGCACAGTTGATAACATTTATGGGACTGCAGTACCTACACGATCCGGTCAGGAGTTCCAGGGAATTTGAGGGTCACTCCCGGTCAGGCAGGTTGTGCCCTAGCGTATTCAGACCAACCTACAAGTGCTTCTGGGCTGCTGGACAGGCACAGACTTAACAATATGAGAGAGGTGGCAGCTGGGAGACTTATACCAGTCCTAGGTGACGAGGCGGTCTGTCACATTCTCTATTTCCCAATGCTCTCAGAAAAGGTCAGCTTGACCTCAATGTCAGCCTGTATGGCTGTGTATATGGAATAAATATAAAATGGTGCAGATACTACCCTAAACTGTTAAGTGGAATCAGTATTACTTATAAATTGTTAGGCTGCCCAAAAAGCCAAACAAGAGGAACACAAAGTCCAAAAAATATATCAGAGTGCCGCACCTATGAGGCCAATAATTGGTTTTACCGATGCTATACAGGGGTGAGAGATCTCCGATAGGAGAGCTGGGCAGTATAAGCCCAGATAAGGAACTGTGCTGGCTAAAAGACATAACTTTAGAAAGAAAAAAATATTAGAAAACAGAAAAAAATATGCAAAAGGAAACCTTAATAGAAGGAAACTCCAAGTTGGGCTTATAATAGGTGTAAGGATTTCGGTCTACTAGGTCTCAGGTTTGTGTCTCTGGTACTCGCAGATTGAAACGGTGGGTCCCAAACTGGTGTTGGGGAAGAATGTTGCTGTTGTGCAATGCTTGTAGCAGGTGTTAGTGAAAGCCCCAGGGTGAAAGTGAAAGCTGTTGTGTCTGTGACATTAGTAAGACACAGCTGTTGTACATAATGTTATACACTTTAAGTTGATGCCTTGGTCCCCATCGGTACAGTATGGCCTTGTCTCATAACTGCTTCGTAAGAGGCCGTAGAGACTGTCTCCATTGAACATGGTGTTTGAATGTTGCATTCTTAATGATACATAGTATGATAAAACACAAAACAACTTCTTCCTTTAATATGTTTATTTTTTGATAAATTGAAACATTTGGAGAATTGCTGTAACCTTCATTACGGATTTTTTAGAAACCAATTTCAACATCCATAATAATAATAATAATAATAAATAATTTACCATAACTATTAACCGAAACTAAATAAACCATTAACCATTTCCAGGCTCTGCCCATTAAAGCCAGAAGCCATAAATATATACAAAAAAACAAAGTTATATCCCAACGCCACCGTGCTTCTGGGCAACCAAACTTGGTGGCCCCCAAATCTCCACCATAGACTGAATACCCACATTAAATATATCCAATACTATGTCTGACTAATGAATTGCATCGCTCCAATAGAAATCTGTGCAACTGCCCTCAATATCTATGTGCCTGTACGAACACATCCCCAAAGTTGGCAAAAACCTTTCTAGCGCTCTGTTTCATTTTCTCCGCACCTTTTCCAATGGTTTGAAATAGCTTACTTTTTTTTTTTTAATTCTTTATTTTTGTTGTGCAGTTAGTTACATGTTATCAACATACACCACAATAGCGTATTTGAAGGTGTGTTTAGGTTTGACAGTGGCATGAGAAATTGCACATTTTTATATAGGTATAACAAGATTGGTTAAACAGCGAAAACGTTAGCATAAGGTAGGGTGATTCACAGTTAACATTGCTAGAGTAACTTTGCTAGTGTAGTTGTAGTGTGGTTACATGCGTCTAGATTAGTAATGGCACAGACAGCACGGGAATTCAACCTTAATGAACAGGCTAGGCAGGCATATTTAACTGGTGGGCATACTGAATATGAGATGTGAGCTTTCTAAGTTTAGTATACATCACAAGTGAGGTACATGAGTGAGTCAAATTATAGGCAAGGACCTGTGTACCTGGACCTGCCAGCCTAACATGTAGCACTAGAAAACAAGTGAACACGAGGAGTTAAATGCTTATCATATAACAACAAAAGAAATTAAAACAGTGCTAGGAGACATGTCAGGCCATCAGGAGATTAAGTTAATTAGTTAAGATAGTTGCTTGCTAAGTATTGTTAGGAAAGTAGATAAACTATCAACACCACAGGGTCCTAAGAATGTAATGCATAGACTGAGGATAACAAGAGTCATTACATTGCTGGTGTTGGTCTTGCCGTGTGTTAGCAGGAGTCACGTTAGCTAAATGGCACCAAATGCCACGGGTGAGTCACAGCAGGGAGTTCAGCCACAGTGAGTCCCAAGATTTTCCGGTCTATGAACCAGGGTTCCTCTTGGCTGTGCTCTGTCTTGAATCCTTGGGTGGTCAGTACTGTCAGGGCAGGTTCTGCTTCATGTCTTGTGGTATGTGCTACTGCAGGCACTTCCATTAGAGTGCGGTGAGGTCTTATTTGCAGTGTCCATAAACTTTGCTTTTTTTTTTTTTTTCGTAAGGACCCGGCAGGGTAGCAGTGTGTGCTCATTCATTTGCTCCGTTGGCTTCCTCACTTTTAGGTAAGCATCCGCTCGATCTCACAGGCAGCTCACGCACATGGTCGGCGCGCGGCGGCCATCTTGTGGACCTTCGCCCAGCGGCTAATCCTCACCAGCGGCTGTTTAGGTCCGGGTTGATGTGCTGGCTAGTGCCCTTGCAGACCGGGATGACCCCCCCGGTCCAGAGGGGGGGGGGGAAGCGTGACGCCGGCTGGAGACCCGGGAGAGCGGCATTCTCATCCCGGCTCAAGCCCCCATGGGCTCCGTGCCCCAGTCGGGTCACTGTCAGCGCCAGAGAGTCTCATGCGGTATACTAGTTTGCCCCAGTGACTGGGGGTCGGTGTGGTCGCCTGTGTGGTTTTCCAGTCTTGTAAAGCCTCCAATTTACACCGACTTCGGGCACTGGAGCGGGAGCTCAGACAGAGCATGTCTGATCCCGCCGGCGGTCAGGCCCCGCCCCCTGAAATAGCTTACTTTTAGCCAGCAATGTCTTGGTATAATTTCTGAACAAGTAAAAACAGACTTCCGGAAAAAATTGTGCTACAAAAAAAACAAATCTTTCTTAATCACTTGCAACAAATTCACCGATTTTATAGCCCCAATGTCCTTATCTCCTAAATTCACTATTATTAAATCTGGATAGGGAAAAATTAATAAACGTTGTTGCAATATTTCCAATAACTGAGACCACTTAGCACCACGGCTGCCTTTCCAAAATACATTAACTGAAGTGCTCTTCAAACCCAGATTTTCACAGATTTTTGTGTGCTCCTTCTGGGCCCAAACTACAAACGAGTAACCAATAACCCAGGCAATCGCCTTATCACCTAACAGAAAGAGAGATATACGTATATGCACCAATTTTATGAAACACCAAACTTTATGAAACACCTCCCTCTCCTGGAACTGCTGGGGGGCCACACCTCCCTGGGCAAGCCCGCCTTCTTTCGAGACCAGCGTCTCCTGCGCTGTCCACTCCTCTCACGCCGTTCCCCACCACCAACCAAAGTGCAACCAGCCCGGCCCACCTGCCTTGCCAGGAACCCATATCGACCGCATCCAAGGGCCCCAGGGCAGTGCCTCCCTGCCTTGCGCGCCTACTCCTGCGCGGCGCGGCTGACTGCGACTCAGCCCTCCCTGAGATGCCCTGAGGGGACCCAGAAAATGCAAGGTGGTGACTCTGTTCCTGCGCCCCCCCTCACTGGCACCCCTGCCGAACCATCAAGACTCCTTAGGCCATCCTCCCGACTGCCCCCTAAGCCACTATCCCAAAGGGCCCCAGCTCAGTCCCAGTGACACCCCTAGCGGAGGAGGGGCCCACTGCCAAAACCCCCGGGCAGAGCTTGTCCCCGGGCCCTGAGACGTCCCTGAAGGCCCCATGGTCCTCTTGAGCTGCATCAACCCCACCAGGGGGACCAGCTGCCCCACACCCACCAAGGTCACTTGCCTGCTTGTGGGATGCTCCTCCAGCAACACTGCTCCTGGTCCTCCTGGCAACAGCAGGCTCACTGTGCCATCTCCCACTGCCAGGGGCCACCCTCCCGGTGGGCGGCACCATGATCAGCAGTCCTGGGCTCCCACTGCCGGTTGCAGTAGAGCCCGTGCCCAGCCTGGCTTCCCCTGACTGGGGAGCCGCACTGCCGAGATCCTGGCCATGCGGCCACCTGCTCCCGTGCCCCCGGCTATCCATGGCATCACCAGGGGCAGGACACCATCTCCGAGTCCCATGTTAGGGCCTCCAACCTCAAGGCTCTGAGCTACCGACCCCACCGGCGGGTCTGACATCCTGGCCAGGGCTAAGCCCCCGCGCTGGGCGGCTGGTCCCGCCACCGTTCCGGAACCCGCCAGTGTCAGTCCCAGGAGCTCCTGCACCCATGCCACTCCACGATACGGCACCGCCGCTCTCACCTCCGCTAGGAGCTGCTCCATTGGATCTATCCTCTGGGCCTTGAACCTGCAGAAAAAAAAAACCTGAAAAAAACCTATCAGGCCCAAGCTGCAGGCAGGAGTTGCACACAACTTAGGCCAGGTAATAAGATTAAAAGTGCCTAATTCTAAAATGGCTGTCTATTTATACTGGGCCAACCCCCTAACACTCTAACTCCAACCCCAACAGGGACCTTCCCCCTATGCCCGCCTCCTAATTCTGTCAAGCCCCTTTCCACTAAGCTGCGCTTGTTCCATAGGGTTACAATATTCGAGCAATGAATGTATGTAGGCGATCTGCTTAAATAGAATAGATGTAATTAATCTCTTAAAGAGACCATACCAATTTAACACAACATAATTAGGTTTGTAAATAGTGATAATATGACCAGAGTAAAATCATATGAGAATCCTTTACTGGCCTTCTCACACAAATCAGCCCGCGAATTAGACATACAGTAAAAGAGGGTAAGATCATACCATTAAACGACATACTAGCACATTCCTGCAAACATTCAGATACGAACAAGTGAAACGGTTCATAACCTACATACCCCAACAACCAAACCTATACAGGATACTAACCAATTTCATGTGATGAACCTAACTCAATGCCACACACGGTTTCCTTTCTATACTCTGCACTACAATATAACAGAAATTCCTCACCCCCCTTTATATGAACACATAGGAAACTGCTTTAGATGATACCTTCACACCAAACCAGCGAAGTAAGATTTACTACCTTGTACACCACTGTGCACTAGCGAGTAAGACACAGGAAACGGCACATAAAGTGTTATCCCTCTGGTATAAAACCCCCAAACTCCTACAGGCTATTAACCCCAAATTGGATGGCATGTGCTGGTGGCGCCACCAGGGCCAGACTGGCCCACTGGGATACTGGGAAATTTCCCAGTGTGGGCCACGGCACCAGGGGGCTGCAGATAGAGTGGGAGCCCTGCTCCCTATATTTTAATAATATTGCGGCCGGTACGGTGGCACACTCTGAGGGGGTTATACTTACCTTGTGGCCGGCGGCCTCATCTCCTGTGCTGTATGACTGCTGTCAGTATCAGTGAGTGTGCCGGGCGGCCGCCTAACCAGTCCGGCGGCACACTCACTGATACTAACAGCAGTACAGCTGTCAGCACAGGAGGACTGAGTGAGGGGGCAGAGCTAACTACCATGCTCCCTCGCGGTTCCCACAATTCCCAACACAGCCACATCATAGAGTAATCACTACTCTATGATGTGGCTGTGCTGGGAATTATGGGAACCACGAGGAAGCATGGTAGTTAGCTCTGCCCCCTCCCTCAGTCCTCCTGTGACAAGATAGAGGGGGTAATAGAGAAACACAGGGGGAGGGGCAAAGAGAGGGGTGATAGAGAGACACAGGGAAAAGGGGGACAAAGAAAGGGGTAATAGAAAGACACGGGGAAGGGGGGGCAAAGAGAGGGGTAATAGAGAGACACAGGTAAAGGGGGCAAAGAGAGGGGCAATAGAGAGACACAGGGAAAGGGGGCAAAGAGAGGGGTAATAGAGAGACACAGGGAAAGGGGGACAAAGAGAGGGGTAATAGAGAGACACGGGGAAAGGGGGGGCAAAGAGAGGGGTAATAGAGAGGCACAGGAGAAGGGGAACAAAGAGACACACAAGGTTTGGGGGAGGAAAAGCTGGGCTGGAGGAAAAAGAGACAGAGTGGCTGGGAGAGAAGAAATAGGCACACAGAGTTAGAAAGAGACACACAGATGGGATTTGGAAGGGGAGAAAGAGACAAAGCGGCTGTGGCTAAGACATACACAAAAGAGGCTGGGGGAAAGAGACATACAGAGGCTGGAGAAGGGTAAAAAAAAACACACAGGGGCTGGGAAGAGGTAAAAGATAGACAAGGGGAGCTAAAAAAGAATTACAAGGGTCGCTGTAAGAGACAAAAAGGAGAAAATTAGAGACAAGATAGACTAAACGAGGTAAAAAAGAAATCAAAGGAGGGAATAAGAAACACAAAAAAAAGGCAAGAAATTAATTAGGGAGTTAAAAGAAACAGAAGAGAAGACGCATTTTTTTGTGTGTTTGGGAGGGGGGGGTTGCATTTTCGCCTTTGTCTCCTGCTCTCCCTCTAACTTAGTTCTTCAGCATGGGAGTTTATGTCGAAGAGCTAATTGACAGGTAAGAGAAAGACCTCTTATTAAACAGATTTTGCTTCCAATATATGCATTTTGCTAGCAAACTTGCTAACACATTGGACAGATAGACATAATTGATGTAATCCTGACAGTAATACACACACATATATATATGCATGTGTACTGATGTGTGTATTAGTAACATATAATTATGCCTATAATATTTACACATACATTAATATACATTTATATATGCATAATACACACATAAATGTCATTAATATATACATATATGTAATGAGCACGTATTGGCCCAGTCTTGTTGCTAGTTGCATACTCCAGCACAATAATATATTCAAAGTGAAGAGCGCACCCACAGGACTTCAAAATGACCAAGATAACTTTTTTCAGTTGTGCAACCGCATACATTCACCATTTCAGTCCCATTACTAAAATTTCCTTAATATGTCAAAGTAGTTGTACTGAAACATTGATTACTAACAAATGTACGTCTCCTTAAAAAGGCACTCTTTTGTTTATTTTTAAGCCCTACGTGCTTTCTTTCGTTGGAGTAATAGTTTTCAATTTTAAGTTATCTTTTCCACCTCTATATCTGCACACTATACTGGTGCAACGCATTATTGGACTGGTATAGAATTTTTTCTAGGGCTGCTTTTAGTTCCCAGTCCGGCCCTGCCAATCTCTGACTCTTCTTGACCTGTAGGGGTAAAATAAAGTTACTTGTCCCTTGTGGAATGGTTATGTCATCAGGTACTTGGATACTTACTGCATATGGTAGTATTTGTCCCGATTTCAGGGCAGTTTTCCTCATGTTGGTATCCACAAGGATTACCTTTTAACCTTGTCCACAAGTTGGAATTAATTAGGGCAAGGTGTATGGCAAAGCGATGTATGACATCATTGCCAATGTAAACCTGATAGCGAGGTTCGTCTATTACTAGGAATAAATGTTTAGCCGTCTTATTTCCGATGGAAATGGATAGTAAACATTTTGCTATCACATTGTGACTCTCTGATTCGCCATCCAGGTTCTGGATCCACCTGTCATGTGGGGAAGCTAATTTTAGGATTAGCTATCTGCTTTAACAGACTTCTGCTAATATAGCTATTCTCACTCTTTAAGTCCAGCTTTGCATTCCTACTTCTTCCTAAGTCATTTATTTGAATAGGAAAGAATACGTTGTTATTAACCCTTTCAATTCTGGCAAGGAATTGCGCATGACCTGCCAGATCAACAGATTCAATATAGTCCCTGTGGAGAGAAATGGTTAAAACATCACCTTCCAGAGAGACATTCTGGATTCTCTCTGGAGCAACTCTTACGGAATGTTCATCTACAGGTGCAATTGCGTCATTCACCTGCAGGATAGTCACGTCAGGTGACTGACTAGTCCTAAAATGTACCTCTATAGAGTCAGGTCTTTCTTCTATCACATGGCAGGTACGTTCTGAATGAACATGTGATTTCTCATAGGTTATAGGAACCTTAGCTTGTGACCATACAATTCCATTTACACAGTCAATAATTGTGTTAAGGCTTCTGATTATGTCTATACCCAGAATCAATCGGCTATAGAGGAGATCTACCACTATTATCGGGTGTCTAAAGGTTTTGTTACCTATTTTAAACTTTAACCAGTCAGTGCCAATAACATGAAGGGCATTTCCTCCTACACTCAACAGAGCATTGGGGAAATCTCTTAGCTTCGGCTTATCCGCTGCTAAGTCCATTACCTGCTGGAAGTAGGTATTGGATAAGATAGTGGCTTGTGAACCAGTATCTATTAACCCTTTGAAAGGTTGGGGTAGCGAATCCTGTATTTCTACAGACATGTAGTACCTTCCTTCATGTTCTTCTAATTCACGTAAGAATTTAGAATGTGTCAACATATCACTCGTTTTCTATACGTTACCTGTCACAGCAGTAGTTTCTACCTGTACTGAGGAATGCTCAGTCTTACCCAAAGGCCCATCCTTCTTGGGAATATCTTGAACTGTCAAGCGGGAACTAGTGGTTGGCATCTCATCAGTTAACCCTTTCAGGTCTGGATCCTGGAAACTAGTGGCTGCTGGGGATATTTTAGCCTTTGGCTGAATTGAAAAAGCAGAGGGACATGTTGCGCCTCCTTCACCTGAAAGTGAAGTGACGGTGTAGGCAGTAGGTTTCCTAACACAACTATTGTTTGTCTGACTGCGAGGATCTGGAAATGAAACAGGGTTAGGCATTACGTCTATTGACAACCTAATCTGTTTAGTCACAGTAGTTATTATTGCTGCGGCACCTGTTGTTGCTGCTGCAGTTGCACAGGTGGCTCTGCAATTGGAGCTGTCCCTAAAAAAGGATTTCTGGCAAAGACTTGGTTAATCTTTGTCATTTCTTCCATTAATTTGCCCATCTGGTCTGTCAATTGACCAACCTGACTAGGCAAATTATTTCCCCCATTGCCGTTTTGTCTTTGCCCATTAGAATTAGGCTGGGATGGCTGAGACTGTTGGGAGTTATTGGAAGCAGATTGGTTGTTTCTGTTTCCATATCTCCTATTTCCCTGAGGATTCCTTCTCCATTTGTAATTGCCTTGGTTCTTATTAACCCAGGGACGTTTGTTCCCATTGGCATTGGACTTTTCAGAGTTAATATCAGAGGAATTAACAGGATTGCTAGTGGCATTTTCCTGTTTCTGAGGTTTTGGAGTTTTCAAGACCTCAGAATAAGTCCTTTTTTCTGTTGGGTTTCTAAACCTAACTGAATTTTAGTCTCTGACACCATTTTATCACCAGGTTTCTTAACCTTTTGCTGATTTTCATCATGTGCATGGTGTATAGTATACAATTTCATGCACTGACTGACTAGCCATTCTAATGGTAACTTACAATCATAATCTCTTGCGAGATTCATTTGTATGTTTACCGGCATAGCATGAAAATACAGATCTTTACTTTCTGTACTTTCATACCTGGGTTTCCTTTGGGCCACGGAATATGCATGTTTAA